TAGATTGCGAAAATTTTAAAAATTCAAAATGACAGATTCGACATGGCGAACTGAAAATGCAAAAATTAATCATTTGAAACTGGATATTTCAGCGTTTTAGAATCGTTTGTCTAATCTAAAATTGAAAAATAAAAAATAGTAAATTTAATATACCGGATTCAATACGCAAAAAACTGACTGATTAAAACAGAAGCAATTAACAGTTCATGGTTTTGGATTTGATAAATCGTAAAGCATTTATTTGCCAAGACATTTTTCGTAAGTGACAAGAAACGTGACAAATCTGGAGAAGGGACCTTCTGTACATCTATATACTTTAAATTAAAATACATAACGATCGTTCGCATAACACGGGTACGATGCGGCTTCCGCCGATCATTAAATGCAACAGCACAGCACCGATGCGGACGGCCGCGCCCGTATAATATAGAGTGGACGGCTCGTTTTTGCTCCATTTTGCTCCTGCGATACTTTTGTACCGCACGTATCACGTGTGCTCATGCAACCTCGCTGGAGCTTCGAAAACAAGCGCTCTCCCTTGCTATTTATCTTGGCTGTGACACGGAAGTATCTAACCCTTTGGGATCTTTGGGTATTTTTAAGTTCGATAAACAAGTACACACGAGAGTAGAGGAGAAACAAAATTGTTTTTCTTTACGTTCTTTTTTTCTCTGTCAATGACAAGAGATAAATACTTTGTTCTTTGATTTTAAATAACGAGCCTGAAATAAATCGAAATTTATTATCATGTGTGTGTAAAGTCTAAAATGTATGCATAAATTTTGTCGTTCTTATAAATTATAAAAACAATAGTAATATTTATAAACACGTTCGATTTTTTATTTATGTTTACATGGAAGAAACAGTTTTGTTAAAGTATTTAAAAATTTAGCTATACAGACTCGAAGATAAGTTTGGTAAACTATCAAAATAATTATGTATAATAGGACGCTCAAATTAGTGTTAAAATGTCAAAACTTTTTGCAGTATTGCTCATTATACTTGAACGTCCTACATAATTATTTTGATAGTCCAACAAAACTATTTTAAATTTGTATCTAATTAAATTTTTAGATAAATAAATTTGTTCTTTCTGTATAAGTATGCACCTGTTCTTTCGTTTTGCTTAAAATTAAATGAGCGAAGTGAAACGCGCTCTGTGGATCGATTTTGGAGTTTGCGGATGCGCGATCGATCGACCACTTGCCAATTCGCGTCACGATCGATGGAATTTGCGATCAATCGGCGCCACTTCAATTCGCGGGCAAACACCTGCCACAGGCATCCAAGATCTTCGGGTCTTTTGTCGGATGTTATTTTAGCTGCCGGTTTGGACAGTACAAAGTTGGATATTATTGGATGCGATATTCGTGAGAGCGCCCCACGTGAGATTAGAGATACCTAATGGCCTGCGAAATTGCCGTGGAACGCGATTCACAGTGCGTTTTGCAAATCGTATCAGATGAGAATGCAGAATGTTGCGTCCGACATGAACGATGCAATCATTGATCATTATCGTTAGATAGATGAGAGAAAACATTAATAGCGTTTGGTTTTTTTTTTATTAAGGGACAATCTGTGATACACAGACTATCTCTAATAAAAATTTCCTGATTATCGAAATAATTTGTGAATAATTAACTCTCCGAAAATTGACGTCAAAATTTGTAACAGTTACTGACGCTGAATCTGTAAGACTCATTTATGTTAATTAAAGAGATTCTAAAGTCGTCTGTTTTATATCGATTCAATAGGATTATATACTTATACGATTTACGTGTTATTGACACATCACTACATATTACTACATCAATATCGTACGCACATATGCATACAAATTTTCTTAGTAACTAATCTTTCAATATCAGGTATCTAATTCTTAAAAACTCAATATTCTTTTTTTATGTAATCTCTAATCCAAATCAAGATTGTTTTATATGTACAAAATATATATTTAGAGTTTTTGAAAAGTTCAAGTTTGACAGCAACGTATAATATTTATAAAATTTATAATATTTATAAAAAGAAACTATATAACATTTACGTTTGACTTTTGTTTGATGATTTGGTGAAATTATATTGTAGATATTTTAAATAATTCAAGAATATAAAATTCGCGATTCACGCATCTCTAAAATAAAGATGCTCCTCTAAGAGAAACACCTTCCATTTTCCCACATTGTTTAGCCATACGTCGTTACAATTCTTTTCAATGGACGTGAATAATCTTCAAAATAAAAATGTCTTAATCGCTAAGCAAACACAATTAAACATATCCTCACAACCATTGAAAGGGCGCGTCATTAAGAGAGAGAGGAAGAGAGAAAGGGCGCTCTCGCACAATCACGACAATCGATCCGCCGAATTTCAATAAAGGGCACCGGGTCTTCGCTGGGCGAAGGGACGACTGTGCGGCGTGGGCGGCCCTGTGACCTTGAACAGGACGTGCCTGTCGCAGTGCGCACGCGCGCTCGCCCGCAGGGTTCGATCATCCTTCGTCGCCAGGGGCCCTTCGCCACACCGGCTGGCTTGGAAAGTCGCTTTTCACTTTCACGTCCCTTTCCCTGTCCCTTCGTTCGCCCGCTTGCGTCCTGTTCCACGCAGCGCGCTTTTACGATAAGACCGAGTACCTATCGGTAGATCCTCGGCTTGAAAAATAAGACAAAATAATGCACGCATCTCATGCAAACGCTCGTGTACGAAAAGGTATCAACGTTAACGCTCGATCAAGTATACAGGTCTGATCAAAGGATCTTCTCGTGTCTCCCTTTCTTTGAGGGCATCCTCAAAATTCGGATTTAAATTGCCTCGTTAGCCGGTCTTCGCTTTCTTCCACTCAACTAGCCGGAAAATCAAAGCTCTCGGATCATTCGAAAATGTTCATTGGATATTTGCTTAGCAATGTGACATAACATCACTTATTTTTATATTTTATTTACGCACGCTGTATTATTATTTTATTATATGTATTACGTAATAATAACAACAAAATACGTATTGATGAACATGTGCATGTAGATTTTAAAAATAATTTGGAACGTGAATGCAAAGAATAACAAATATTTTTCATTGTATTTACTTTTCTCAATGCGATGAATTTTTTATATATAGTAGAAACTAATGAAGAATATGATTTAAAAATAGCTAGAGTATCTTTAAGTAGGATTATATAATTAACTGAAAGCATCGATGAAGCCCTTTGTGCAAAGAAGGGATTAAAGAGAGATGGGATGTTCTGAAGAAGAAGAGCCATCCTTAGACCTCTTTATTTTTTAAATATAATTAAGGCACGATTCTTTTATTAATCATCAAACATCTGAGATGACTTTGATCTTGATTACATCAATTAAGTTTCCAAGCAGGTTTTTGATATATATTTGTCATTGTTCTTTGCTGAATGATACATCGTAAAGAACATCTTTAAAAATATTATAAAGAAAAAATATATTATATTTGTTTCAACAATGGCAGAATTGTGTCTGACACGAATGAGTTTTATGAGAAGGATCGAACGCTTCAAAAATAGAATACTGAGTCAATTCTATTGATGCACGTAACAGAGTTAATGTATAGTTCTCTCGTTACGCGATCGCGCCGTATTGTCTATTTAACAATTTAGCAATCTTTATATGTGAGCGATTGCAGACAAGTGTTCGATCCTTTATCGCAACTGGTCTTAGATAAGAGAGCCTCAGTTGGTAGATTGATTATGATTCGACAGTAATTCTTCATTAATCGTTTGGATCGTATTATATATTAAACAATCGATCGAGGAAGTGTCAACGTTTATGTCAGATAAAAGTGGACAATGTTATTTTTTCCCAAGTGCACTGTCATTTTTTGATAAATTATAATGTTTTTTCTTATCATTTAGATATATTCTGATGTTACAAAACAACTCTATCATTTTTCTTGTACTAGTATTATGTAAAATCATATAGTAAACGGTATTATAAATGTTTGAGGAGAGATATCTCTCTTTTGATCGACTGCGACAAAGTTTTCATTAATTTGAATCAACTAAATCAACTAAATCAGCAATTATTTTTTTATTGCTTTTTATATTATAATACCGAGACACGCTTGGAAAAAATATTTTTTTTTACAGTTGATATATGTATGTCTTGCTTTATAAATTTTGGAGTAAAATTTGTCTGTCTTTGTTTTTGGGATTTATTTGTTTAATGACGCGTGGGTTTGATTGAACACATTATCAACCTCCGCCAGCCATGCGTGCCACGTTAACTATAAAATTCATGTCAACGCTCGCTCTCGTTGCCCGATCAATATCCGTTGCGAAGCGGTTTTCTCGCGTCCGCTGCTGTTTCGTTAAACAAATAATTCGCGAAAAAAAGCAAGTTACAGCGAAAAGTTCGCATGGAAACGAATCGAATTTTCATCGTCGAAGCTGTCGCGCGTAAAGTTATCACGAAGAATCGATTAGCTTTATCTTTATAATAAACCGAAAAATTGATTTCAATTTAAAAAATGGATACTACGGCTTTGTAGAAAAATTGACAGAATGACATAACGGATTCTAAACCAGATTTCATTCGAAGATCTTGACGTGGAAACGAGAGATCCTTCAGCTCGTGTTATACAATTCAAAACGAGATTTTATTTGCAATCGAATCTGTGCGTAAGGATATATTCAGAAGAATATCGAAGCAACGTCAATCTTCTTTTTATAAGAAGCTTGTCTGGAAAATTTAGCCGTCGTTCCCGAAGAACTGTGTGCAAGAGAAGAATAGTCGAAACTCATTCTTCGAGATTTCAACTTATTCTTTTCACTATGAAATTCCGGCTACGACAAAATGAATCTCGAAAATGCTCCAGTTTTTCCAGGACTGACGTCTGCTAGTTTTGTAGAAGAGGCTGCAGAGACAAAGACCTTCGGAGCACGTCAGAAAATGCGCGACTGAGTTCCCCTTAAAGCACGCCCCGTGCATGCGTCTCACAACATGCTCGCACAGTCAAGCATCTTATTTTCAACATTCCAGAAGCGATTCCATCGACTTCTTGCTCCAGCTCAATCAGACACGATCATCGAGTAGCAAGGAGTTTTTTGGTGCTCCGAGAGACCGCCGCCATCCCGAAATCCTTTCGTCACAGGCGATCGATGAGGAATACCTAATGTCTTGGAAAAACTATCGCCCAAAATTCACCAAATTATTTTTGTTTACTATTTTCTCTGATTAGCAGACTAATTCAGAGAAGATATGATAAATGAAAATAATTTATTTGATAAAGATAAGACAAGCTTCTTATCTTGTCTAAATTTGATCAAACCAATTTGTCATCTTTAAATCTTCATCTAATCTGCGCGATCGTTGAGTGAAGAATCGAATCGTAAACTGCACCGTACGGTTTTTGTTATTCATGTAATTCTCATCATCACCGAGGTCAACCCGTTGATTCCTAGCACTAGGATCATGTGGCAAATCACGATTCGAAGGCTCTTTAGCAAAAGGCTTCTTAGAATTATATCGTAGATTTTGAAGTGGAACTATGGTGATTCTCGACGAGTGCATATTCTCGTTCGTCCAGCTCGGTCGATCCGCTCGTCGTCTAGGAATGTTCGGCAGGAAATTTCCATTCCCGGCGGTTCGATCGGGCCGAAACGGCTCGGGGCCCCGGCGTCGTTCCGGCACGAGTCTGCTCAACGTAAAGGCCACGGGAAGAACCGACAAATGTCGGAGATGGCCGAAGCGCCGTTGCGCTGAACCACGAGCTACCCTCGGCAGCAGCTCGCGGCTGGCTATGGCTATTGACCGAGCTTGGCGGACCGGCCGGTCAGCTGTGCGCCTCGCCGGCGGTGTGGTATTCTCCTCCGCGGTCAGGAAGAAGCCGTTCACGTAGACGAGGCGGTGTGTCGTTCAGGCCGGCGTAGATCAGTCGGTGTGAGTCAATAACGGGGAACCGAACGAAGTCCAGTCGGTTGAAAGGAGAGCCAGCGGGGACTCCCTCAGGAGAGGAGTCCAGCGGCGACGGTAGTGCTTGAAAGACCGCTCGGTTTCCGGGCGTAGTAGACGATCGCATAGAGACGGTCCCCCGAGGAGCCGCGTGTTCGTATATATGTCCGTGAGTGGAATCGAGAGGCGAGAGAGACTGACTGCTCCGGTCTTGTCGTCATCGTCGTCATCGTCGATGGATCGGTCCGAGTGAAAGCCGAAAACGTGTGAATCGCTGGCTACACGCGCTGCGGCAAGTAAATGCAGTTGGAGTAGGAGAGTGAACCAGACGGAGCGGGGGTCAAAGAGAGCTAGAGAGAGAAAGAGAGAGAAAAAGAGAAATATACCGAGAAAGGAAAGAGAGAGAGAGAAAGAGCGAGAACGAGGGAGGGAAGGAGGAACTTGGCTCACGGGCAATACTCGACATGTAGAGACCGACCGGCTGTGCACGGCCAGCGCGGAGACGATCGCGCGAGAGAGGATTTGAGAGAGGAAGAGAAAAAAGAGAAAGAAAGAGAGAGCGAGAGAACGGCAACGAACGGTCCCGAGAGGGACGGGGAAAAGGTTGGTGGGAGGAGAAACTGAGAGAGAGTGAAAGAGATAGATCGACCGAGTGTAGGAGAGACACCGAATGAAACAGAGCGAGAGAGAGAGAGAGAGAAGGATAGGCAAATAGATAGGTGTCGTGTACGTATGCGTTGCGAGTGACGAGTGTGCCGCCGCGACGTGCAGGTGTGTGCGCGTGTTGCAGGCAGGCCGCCGGCACAAAAAGTGTTGGGCCCAGTGGACTTTTCCATACCGGAGGAGAGCTGCGTGCATACGTACATACGTGCGTACATCGTGCGTGCGTGCCGTCCGCGCGCGTGTCTGTGTGCGCGAGAGTGCGCGCGCCGCCTTCGCGATCGCGGACGGACACGCCGGCGAGTTTTCGGCCGAGTACCTGCGAACGAGGACGGACGGAGACCGATCGACCGACCGACCGATCGACCGACTCTCCTCTCTTCTCGTGGTCTACGCGGTGACCTCCGCTAAGGGAGAAGAAACGGGCGAAAGCCGCACCGAAGGATAGCCAACTCGATTTCATAGAGTGCGCGCGTCAGGTGCGAGAAGAAGAGAAGGAGAAAGAAAGAAAGAAAGAAACAAAGAGAAGAAGAAGAAGAGGGTTGGATTACTCCGGGTGAGAGAGACCAGGAATTTGGACGTCGCAGCGCTGACGTCGAGAGGATACCTTACGTGGACGGCTTTACCGGGTGGAAACGACCGCAGAATCGTCGACAGCGAGAAGAGAAGGTAATAGGATCGTCCGTCACTGAGGTCTACCTTGCCGGCCGAGAGAGAGAGAGAAGGGGGAGGGAAAGAAGGAGAAAGATAGAGATTGTGAGAGAAAGAGCGAGCGAGCCAGCTTGGTACACACGAACTCCGTTCCAACTCTGACTCCTCCGTCGCCACTAACTCGCGGTCGGTAAAGCGTCGAAACGACGGCGGTGGTGATCCGGCGAGATACGACTGTGCGCGAACGAACGGCTGGCAGTCGCGGTCTTCTGGTGGACGTGATAAGGACGAGCGGCGCGATCCGTTCCGGCGAATGAAGTGGTCGGTTGTGCGAGGCGCGAGAAGAAGCTGTGAAGGGACGGACAGGAAGAAAGGAAACGATCAGCGGATATTCGAAGGATGCGGCTTCTCGATCGAAGAATTTGGTGCTGCATTTAGTGCTACGTACTCCAATCGGGCCAATATTCAGAAGACCAAAGAAACTTGAGAAGGATCTAGGAAGCGAGATATTAAAGAAAACAAAATCTCCGCGGAGGAGAAAGCGAACGTAAAGCAACAACGACGAGAGAAGACACGAGTCCTTGATCGACAATCCGGTACTACGTAGACTTAATTACGGTCGACGGTGCGGGCAAGGCAAGAAGTAGCCAAAAGGAAGAAAGGAAGTAGCCGGAGCGTCCTTGATGGGCCATCCGGTGGTACGTGATCGAGCTGTGTCGCGACCGACATTGGCTCGGCTCCGTCGCATCGAGGGAGATTAGAGGCGACCCACGTTTTACTCACTTCGTTCGGCAGACAACGAACGCCGGCGAAGCCGGGACGGGAGCAACGAAGGAGAGCTGCGGGGGGAGAGCGAAGAGAGGAGAGGAGAGGAGAGGATCTACTTGCTGATCAGCGCGAACCCCAGGCGATAAGCGACTCCCGTCTCGAGTTGACGAGCCGCTGACTCGGCAGACACGGGAGCCGGTTGTTTCAACGCTATTAGTGCCCATGATGACTCCAATTATCCGCGAGTGACTTCCACGTTCGCGCGACGATTTGTCTGCCGTCCGATCCGATCGTTTTGCGACCACCCGGTGCGTTCCGTGCTGGTTTCCTTAACGGAAACGAGGACTCTCCCCGACTTCCACGTGTACACGTCGAGAACTGCCGATTCTGGATCCTTGCGAGTGGATGGAGTAATTGGCAACGTTTTAGAAATCGGCCAGAAATGTGCGATTGAACGCGCCAAGGGATCCCTCTTCCGAGCGATCGCACGCATCGTGGATCCACCTGGAGTCTCAACTTGATCTACCATTATTAATCGCTTCGAGGATAATCCGGCAGCGTCGTTTCATCGGATTAATTCGTCCGGGACGAATTTCCAGATTAACGGACGGGCGATCGCCTTCCACTCCATCCGGGATTACTCCGGGATCGCGCTCGATAAGCCACGAGGATTCCCGTACGCTCGCGCTCGCGCTCGCGCGAGGCTACGCTTGAAAATCGCTCGGTGTCGTTGCTTGACAAAACCGGTTTCGTTCGGCTCAGCGAATCTCGGCGTTTATACAAAGGTCGTGTGTGAGAGCGCGCCGCGCGCGCGACCGCGGGAGAGTATGTGGTAGGAGTGAGATTTATGGAAAACGAATTTACACGAGGTCACACCCACGGGAGCGGCTGTCTATCTCTCTCTCTTTTTTTCCCTATATCTTCGTTTCTTTTTCTCTCTCTTTCTCTCTCTCTCTCTCTCTCCCTCCCTTGTCTGTCTCCTTGTAACTCACACTCTCTCCCCCAGTTCGTCTATCAGTTTATCCACGCATTTCCTCTATTAATAATAACGACGAAACCGATACAATAGAGAATCGCCGGCCAGATCACGTTGAAGAATCCTTGAAGGAATGAGATCTCGATCTCAAGAGAGTGATATCGCTCTGATATCGACCAACCGAATAAATATGCCACATTCGTGGCGGCCTTGAAGAATTTTCTTCGGGTCGACAGTCACCGTGCGCAGGATCAGCGAATCCGATATCACCGGCAACGAAGCACAAGGGAATTCATAGGGCGGCTCATCATGCTAGCGACCTTGAGTATCCAAGTGTCTCCGATGATTAAGAATCGCGATCGATCGAGTACGTAACTATCGGACGGCGAATCTCGAAGACTTCGAAGGATGTCGGGGGATTTGGGTGGTCCACGGGAGGAGCAGGACTCGTCGCCTGAGTCGAACAACAGCAACGCGTCAGTTGCGGAAACATCATCAGCGAGGAAAATTTAGCTGTCTTGCCACGAGCACTTGCTTGATGATCGGTCACGGCGACAATGAAGCGTGCGACGAGCGCATCCGTTGCGGCCGCCACGGCCGCCGCGACGCAAGTGCATCACCAGGCGAGGATCCAGGAGTTGTTCTCTCCCGGGTCAATGCCGACGATGACGACGTCGACGACGACAATGACGATGACGACGACGTCGACGAACACGAATACGACGATCGTCGGTACCTGCACAGACGAACTGGATAAGCAAATCACAACGATATCCTCCCGGCTCGAGTCAAAAGGCTCACCGAAGATTAGTCCCGGAACGGGCGATGACAACAAGGCTAAGTCTACGGTAATGTCACGATTATTAGCCGTCGATTCCGATAACTACATGCTGCGCAAGGCCTCCTCAACGGCGACAACGACGGCTACCAACGGCGCCGTGGCACCGTCGTCTACCACCTCATCATCGTCGTCATCGTCGTCATCATCGTTGAATGGTTCCGCGAACATTCAACTGCAACGGCAGATGCAGAGTCTCGCTATCGGATCGGCTACCGCGCCGTCGATCCTCGCAACGTATGGCAACGGCAATGACCACGTTGTCGGTCAGCTGTACGACGTCACGCGGGCAACGTCCAGATCGACGGCGACGTACGTGTCACCCAGGTGGTACACCACCAGTAATAATAACCAGGCAACGAGGCAGCATCGGGAAGGTACTGCGGTGGCAGCGGTGACTGCGACCGCGCAACTCGAGGAGCAATCCTTGCAGCAGTTGCAGCTGCAATCGCGTACGACGACGTCAACGCGCGACGACGCGACGACGCCCGCGGCCTCGACAGCGGACGGTATCGAGAGCGAGCTCGGTTTCACGAGGCCGGTGTGCGCGAGACCGGTGTCCTTTCATCGATACATGTGTTGGTGTAGCGCGCAACAGCAGCTGCAGCTGCAGCAGCCTGCTGTAGCGGAGGGCGTCGACGCGAACTCCTCGATCGGTCGCGCGAAGGGTGGCAGGGGCTCAGCCACCCACGAAGGGTTGGCAACGAGACGAACTGTGCGCGATGATAATAGTAGTCTATGTTGCTGCATGTGCGGTTCTCTATGTCCTGCAGAGTGCCACGCGTGCTTCCACATCGTGTGCTCGGACTACAGCGGCCAGCACCTGTGCAAATGGACTACCAAGGGTCACGCGCTACCGGGCCAGGTTCACGACAAGGACAAGGTCAGTAAGCCAGTGCTTCCTCGTTACGTTACGAACGTGTACCGTTCGAATTAATTATACTTGAGTTGCGCTCACGTCTTTCAGTATGTTTCATTTTTCTTTGTGATCTCTTTGCTGGACAGTAAAACGAATATTATTAAGTAGGGTACATTGCAATGTAAGCTATAGTCACATTTTAAAAAATATTGGTTAAAAAATTTGTGATAATTCTTAATCTTAAATTTATGTTATACTAGAATGTCAAAAAAGTTTTGAATTATCCTTCGGTTTTTGCATATAAATTTATTCAGAAATAATAATAATTATTCTGTAACCTTCAAGTGGATAAGTGAGATAGACGTGCATAATTTTCTTAAAAACCTTGAAAAAGAACTTTTCCAGCTCTGAAAAAGGAAAAAAAAGCATTATTCAGAAGTCTTAAAGTATACGTTTCTCTATCTCATAAGGGTATAATTAGTGTAAATTTAATTATAACATAATACATTAATAAAAAATGTAACGATAAAATTAAAAGTTTTAGGGTGTACTGAGCATTCCACCTATCAATTTGTATAGCTTTAGACCACTTATCTACTTAGAGATTAAAATAAAGATTATCAATATTATCATGTTCAATAACCATTTGCTACTAGCCTTTTAGCTGCTAGATTTACTCTCGATATTATTCGTCTAGACGGTATCGAGATACGTATACCTTGATACCCGACAATTCTGATCTTGCACCGTTTGATTTCCTGTTTTGTCAATTATAAATGAAGCTTTTCTTACGAAGACGATGATTCGAAACTGTTGAACAAGTTATTAAGGTAGCTTGTCTTCGTTCCTAGGAGTATACGATAGATAAAATGTCGGTCGGTTATTGTATCGTTTATGGAACATCCAATGTTATGTAACAACGCACATGGATATGACATAATTTTAATTATTTTTTTTAAACGAGATAATAGTCGGTCAACTTTTTCTATCATATACTTTTGATGCCCTAAGAAATCCAAATGGTATCGATATCAAATCCGGCAACTACATTGTAAAAAAAAATTTGGTAACAGTTACCAAATGTTGAATGAAATAATTTCAATCAAATGTTCGATTAACCCTTTGAGAAGTGGAAAAAAGTGGAAAGTATACACTGAAAAAAAAGATTGGCTGCTGCAGCAAATTAGATGGTAAAATATGGCATAGCATTTTTAATTGGTTGCAGCAGTCAATTTTTGGTTGTGTTAGTCTATCGAAATCCTATACTGACATTGCAGATATTCTAACGCAACCAAAAATTGACTGCTGCAGCCAATTAAAAATGCTATGCCATATTTTACCATCTAATTTGCTGCAGCAGCCAATCATTTTTTCAGTGTACTTCCCACTTTTTTCTTCTTCATTTTTAAGATGTATTGTTCACAGTTTAATGAAACCGATTATGATTTTAGATTTTTCTGATATATTATTGCTTACTTTTCATGTTTTCCATGGTCATTAAACCCGATTGTTCTTTTTTAATCATTTTCAAGAAATAAAATTGAAAACAGAGCATTTTTTTAAATGTAATTTTTAGGAAAATATTTAAGATAGGAGATTAAAATTTTTGTTAAATATTTTTTATATGTCAAAATATTGTATATATATTTTTCAAAATTTTTTGCACCTTAATTTTTTATTAAAGTTATTGGTCTACTATGTGAAGATAAAAATTACACTACGTAACAAGTTTTTTGCATTTTTGTCATGAAATATGTTCTTTAGTAAAAATAGAATACGCTGAATATGAATAAGACTAAGAAAAATGGTCTCTCATGTAAGGTTTTCAAGAAAGAAGGGCTTGAAACTCCTCAAAAATGTATTTTTGACCATTTTCATAAATTCATAACGCATAATCCAGATGTTCCAGCAACTTTAGGAAAGTCTAACATGAAGTTTGGGACTTTTATCTTTCAATTTAATTTAAAAAGTCGCAAACAAAGTGCAATTTCGTAGAAATCAGATTTACACTAATTTAATTCTATATGGCAGCCATATTGGATCTGCCATTTCGAATTTTTAAAATCTGACTTCAAATTCGTAATCAACGATCCAAAAAACATAAAATTGCAAGATTTTACAGGAATTTGTCAGGTAAAAAAAAACACCCTTAAAGGGTTAATAAAGTAAAAAATAATTTTACTTTTATAAATATTTAGTAAGTATTGCCAAACATAATAATTCAACCAAATGTTTGATAATAATTATTAAAAATATTTAGAAAAGTAAAATTATTTTTAGTTAATCATACATTTAATTCAAATTATTTCACTCAACATTTGGTGATTATTACCAAACTTTTTTCGGTGTAGCAGACCGCTGGTGAATGGCTATTGAACTGATCTTTATTTTGATGAGAAATAAATGTCATTGTTTCTGAATAAATTTGTATATAAAATCGTTTTTATACATAAAACTGAAAGATAATTTAAAACTTTTTTGATAATCTAGTATTAGATATATCGATATATCTCTTTGTTTTTATTAGTATATCTAATATGTATTAGTATCTAATATATATTTTACAACATGGACCGATTTATTTATAACTTGTATCTTTCGTACATAAGAAGATTCTATGACGCTTTTAAACCGACAGAATTATCTCTCGTGCATGCACTATTACAGTTTGGCGAAATAAAAACATGCAAAATCCTCGCGCGATATTCAAGGCAAAGTACATAACACTTAACAATGAAAATTGGACATCGAAATAAATTTCATGTCTATCGATCATCTGTATCGAGACACCACATAGTACGTGAAAATATCAAGCTCGGAAACTCGAAAGTAATACTTCTGGTGATAAGGATTTATCTTTGATTATGTTTCAACGGTGATTGATGCATTATAAAATGCAGAAAATCTTGACGTGCTATTCTGCACGTAAAATCGATGATGCGCAAAGCATTTTTTATTGTAACATGAGATTTTATTCTCTTCTGTCTTCCTTTCGTTTTTTTTTTATTTCGATAAATGTGTTTGTGTGTTTAATTTTTGTAACTAAATGAAAGTATGGAGAAACTTTTTATATTATTTTGATAAAATCTTGCATTTTTTCGCGATTAAATTAAAATAATTTATATTAAATAATCTGCCGAATTAAAATAGCGATTTCGTCGCCGTCTTGATATAAAAAGAAATTCATTATTCCTATTTCGAATTACTGGGATCTATATAAGTATAAAATTTGGATATATATTTTTCGACCATGAGAGAGAAAACCATCTAGAGGGATGTAAATTTTATATCTGATTATAAATGTTATAATCGTGAATTCTACATAAACGCACAAATGGCATGTCGTTATCAGGGCGAGACCTGCTTGAAATTCGATAGCGTAACGACCTAAATTCGACGGCGTCTGCCATGAAATTATGATAGGGAAAAAAGGATAAAAAAAGGGATCTAAATGTCATTTCTTCCTTTTTTTAAAACATAAAATATCCGAGTCAATACTGCGCGATTCTTATTAGCACAAGACGAGAACAAAAAATTAATAAGATTTAAAATATTATATATATTTCATGATAATAATACATATAATGCTATATAGGGGTATAAATTTGAGAGTAGTAATTCATCGAAAACTTTCTGCTCTAATATACATTTCTTGTAAGAATATACATTAAAGGAAATAATATGAATTTAATGGTTTTTTTAAACTGTATGTAACTATATATTACGTAAATAATTGCATCTTTTTTATTTTACCGATGGAATGAAAATCAATAGGTGAAAGCTATAATAAAATAAATCATCTAAACGCTGGAAGCAATAAATTTTATGTTTTTTAACTATCACAATTTAAGAAGACTGAAATAGACTTCCGTAATGGTAATTTATGATTCACGGATGATTGAACAGATTAAGTGGAGTAAATCTTATGTATTTATGTCTAATTGTAGCACAAGAGTCATTACAATGGACAATGTCATGAGAAAGTCAATATTCATGCAAGTCTTAAATTTTATTCTTTCAATCAAATTTAACGAGTTAAATATAAAACAATTACAATTTCGATTTGAAATAGAACCGAAGAGAGAATAATTAATTAAGTACAAAGAATTTCTATTTTAAATATAAAAATAATTTTTAGTGCATCCTTGTCATCGGAATGTTGATTCGTTGTGATTGCAGGTCTGTGAAGGGTTATCTCTAAATGAATTTTTACAAAATTAATAGGCATTTGATTATCCACAACTTGTTCACATTAGTCTATAAGTAATAATTTTTATCCACCCTGCAAAAAGAATTTATAAATAAATAAAACGATTAAGTATCCCTAAATATTTTTTTTAATTACACACGGAATTCAAGTGTCCACGATTTATCCGTATTTGTTTCCTTATAAATAATTGTTTCTTATTTATTCTGTAAAACTAAATTATAAACAAATATAGAAATATAGAGCAAATTTTGGCAGGAGAACTGAAAAGGTGTGTATCTTTAAATTACATATTGAATTTGAATGTTCACAATTTGTTCGTTTTATCCACAAGTATCTATAAATAATTGTCTATTGTTTGTTGACCACCTCGCAAAAGGAATTATAAACAAAAAAATTGCACAAATTTTCTCACAATTTCTAAATTTATTTTTTAAATTACGTAATTTATGGACAAATGCCAATAAATTGTGGACAGTCGAATTCCGGATGTAATTAAAAAAAATATACTTACACTCAACTCTTTTATATATTTATAAAACTCTTTTGTATATTTATTTTTTGCAATGTGGACAAAAAATTATTTATAAACAAGTTTGGACATGTCAACGATCAAATGCCATATCAATTTTATATATAAAAATTTATATTTAAGAGTGTAAGCTTCACAGACTTTGTAATAACAATATTTTTGGTCACACGTCTGATTTTAGATCGATGCACAGCATCAATCGCTGCAAAACCCCTTCGAAGAAAAGGCGTTCTATGAACGTCATCATATCGCGGCAGGATTTCCGTCGCAGAGATGATTTCCGCGAAATAAGTTCCACGTGGCGAGGCATCCTAGATTAACGGGTCGAGTCGCAAAAATTCGCGACGTCGGCGATTTAATTCTCACGCCGGTGTCGGTGGGATGTAACGTGTGCGGTGACGAGGAAGAAACGATCTCCTCGACGGAGATTAATCGAGCGCGTCGATCGGACGGACGGACGAATGCGCGCGGATGTAACACGCGCTGCCGGCTGGCGTGGATTATTCGGACGTGGACGACACAGGCGAGGGCTTATCTCGCGGCTGTCGTCATATCGCGGACTCGGGGTTACGGCGAGAGGTTACGTTTTCTTTTTTCCGCACTTTTTACGCTCTTGCTTTATCGGACCCTCGCTACCCGATAGCAACGGCTGGAGGCACACGGAGATGTCTCTTCTCTTCGCGTCACCTTATCCCATCCTCCGTCCCGCCGCGCCTCCGATCGCGCCTCGATTTATTTATCTAATCGGACCTGGTCGGTCGCATAGTGCGTTAAGTGCTCGACGAGCGACGCGCCTTATCTTCGGGATCGAGAAAATCCGGAGACGCGTCTCTCGCGCGTGGTTTTTACGTAATCCTCACACGATCGACACCGGATAACAGCACTTGTCCAGAGAGAGAATAGAGTCGTATGCAAAAAAAAATTCTAGTTAAATGTACAATTCTTCTTTTTTGTTGCTTTTTTTTAATTTACGTAATGATGAAATACGTGTAGATGTTACGCACATATGCATTAAATAATCGTTAACTGAGAGTCATAATTATTAATCATAGAAGGTTAATACGCAGATTAATATGGAAATATTGATACGATGGAAATATTGTTATAATTGTATGATGGTATATCGTGCTGCTTTTGTTACCATCGAGGATTTAACCACTCGTCAATAATTAAATTATTGATATTTGAATCTTTCATTCAATTAAAATCGATAGAGATTTTGCGTTAATAAACTGATATAAATTACGTTCTTTTATTTGCTTCTAATTTTTGTTTTTCACCTATTAAGTAAATATGTAAATATATTTTTAATGCATGATGTTCAGAGAAAGCTTAGAAAATAATTTGGGAAATTTCCGAAATAAATATAATAGCAATATCATTTTGTGATTGTAGCAGTTAGTTTCTAGTTAACTAATCGTATAACGATGCGGAAAAATTAATAACGATTAGATGTTCTCTGGAGCTCGTCATAATAGAGATAACTTGTATCATAATCGAATCATAACCATGTCGAATATATACATAAAAACAAATTAAGTATTTCAATTAAATTTTTTTAAAGAGAAACTGATAGATTTATTATGGATAGATTTATTATAAAATACTTATAAAAACTACTACAAAATTCGTTAAAATGCCTGGAATATACGAAAGATGTCTTAATTGTGTTAAATCGGGAGTTTATCTTTATTTGAGAATATATGTTGCTAATAACAATTAGCAATTTTATTAGATACTATATAATGCTGTAAAATACCACTGCAAAAACTTATTAAATTATTTATAAAAATATATCATCCGTTAATTAATAGAAAATGTTGATAATTTTTGAAAACACAGTAAAATTGAATTGCTTCTAAACTAGATATCTGAAATCAAACGTATATCTGAAGAGATCTACCTTATTATTCCGACTTTCACTCTTTCAGTTCAACCGATTAACAAGAAGCGATTATCTCAATTTGCTGTGTGAATCGTTCTGTAAAACGATTCTGGAGTTACAATTCAGAAAGAAATTAATTATCATTGTTGTAAAAGATAAAAATTCTAATAGATTGCCGAAGATCATTAAGCATTTTTATTTTAAAATCTCGAGGATAATAATCGCGTGATCTGACTGGCAAACGGGACAGACAAACTTGCAAAGAATCGATTGATTATGCGCGTTTAAAAGGATTTTACTGTTAATGATACTCCCGGATCATATTTTTATCCATTGTCAAAAGTAAGATTATAATATATCTGATAGTTATATTTAACCATTTTGATAGATTACTTCTAAGGGGATATAAATACATGGCATTTAATATAATTTGAAATGAATCAGCTAAGCAAAAGAAGCGCTAACTGTGGTTAAAGTTAGATGTTGAAATAATATTTCTATATAAACATTTTAAATACATTTATTTTAAATGTATGACTGTACGCCGATTACTTTCGACTTGCAACACAATCGACTGAAATAATAATAAAATCCGTATCAAAATATTATTCCAATATCTAACTTTGACCGCAGTTGGCGTTTCTTATTTCTAGTTAATTTATTCATATAGGAGTCTTATTCTCTAACTTATTAATTAGAGATAAATTTTACTTTCATAGAATATTAATTTGAAGTATAGTTATAAATATATTTGATATTCAAAATTGGAAGGTCGCGAAGAATAACTTCCTGAAAACTCCGTTTATACAAAATTATATCAGTAACTTTCAAAGTGAGATACTTGATATAGAATACGTGATCGTAATTATGAAAATCATTTTATTAGAAGATTATTACGTTCTTGCCTCATTTGTCAGTTCTACTTTGCTTTAATTAATTTTTTTCATAATTCACGTGATCTAACCGGGATTAGCAAGTAGCAAGCCGTATAAATATGTCTCGAAGTGTACGCGTGTGTGCGTACACGTGCTTCCTCGTGCGCAAGTGGACTTGGCTCGATTAGTCGTCGCTGATTCTTGTGCCATCGATGCCCACCTACAATTTATGTCTCGTTTCTCTGTTCACAGCCTGTCAGTGAGTGGACGTCGCTGAACGTAGTTGAATGGATGTCAGCCCTAAATCTATACCGCTATGCGGACGTCTTCAAATCGAAGGACATCAAAGGCAGCGATCTGCCTCATCTGGATCGGGAAAAGCTCATGGTAAGCCGATCATCTTAATTAGTTATTAGCATACTGGTCGTCCATACATCTCGGATTAAGGTAACTAATGCCATTCAGTGGACTGAGAACCGCCTCGAACGAAGGAACTTCAAATGTGGGACATTCGTGATTATTACTATTAAATTGTTATAATCAAGATAATTTTTGTTTTATTAATAAATCACACTTTTTATTCTTTTACTATAATACAGTAATTCTGATAATAACAAGCAGATTACAATGATTTAATTTAATGAATGGTAGACATTAAACGAAGTAAGGTAATATCGTTGAATTATTATAACATACTCTACTTCGCTTTTTTACAAGATCTTTTTTACAAGATCATTGCACCGATTTGGAAGCGATATGATGTGATATTAATTAAAAATACGATATATCCATTTATCCATTAAATATATTTGCGATTGAAAATCATAAATTAAAGTAACCTCTATATTTTAAAAAATCAAGTGAAGGCTAAACGAGATTGATTTTTCTTCCAATAGCTTTTTTTTATCTAAATCTGCGAACTACAATGAGATAGTGAGACTAAATCGATTTCTACGTGACTGTATATTAATCTCTAAACAGTTGATTTAATGAGCGATAATGCACTGTCCTCATTCGTGAGTTTACCGTTAACAGCAAATTATTTTATTATGATAGTTTTCTCGAATTTATCGACAATTCTAAAAATACCGATGGTTTTGCTATGATAGCCGACCATTTTCTTCTTGATTGAGTTAATTTATCCTTTCCCATTAATCAGACATGGTTTAGAGAAATGCGACTGTAATTTATACGGGATGCTTATTAGAACTAATTAGCAGTAAGAATTAATGTACCATACCAAGTTACTGCGCAAAGCGATTCCGTGGAAGACTGTTTATTTACTTTATTATCGAACGGAGAGATTTCTGTTCGGAGAAACTATTTGACGAATCAAGCGATTTAACGGGGAGCAGTTCGTTTTTTTGCACTAACGCTCGCGAAACGCACAATCACGAGGTAGAATCATGCAAAAAGTGCAAATTAAGTTTCTTGCATTTTCGTGTCCCACTTGATTGAAATTTAATTCTGCGACAAACAATCGTCAGCAATCTGTTCTGAGCTATATTCCTACTTATAGAATGCGCACATATTCAAATTCTTCAGATTTAAATTTAATATATATTGCTGGCATACAAGCTCGCATGTGGTTATATTTGACTGAATATCCGCCTTATGATCGATAAATTTTCTGTTATTTATTTTGCGTTATTATACATTTTTTGTATTTTCGAAAGGATGAGAAGAGTTGTCTCGAAACTATTTTATTGTTATTTAAATTTTTATTGCCACATTCTGAAATTAAATAAATCCAGTTACCTAAAAATAGTATAAAATTCCCTAATATTTTTCTTTCGATTTCTTTATATCCTTTAGGTATCTGTAAATGTTCTGGAATATAGTTTCATACGAGTTTCACTCTAGTTTCATATGAATTTTTATACAAAAATCTGCTATTAAAACACACAGCTTCAAGTTCTGAAATAAAAAAGTAGTAGGAGCAAAGTTTTTTATTGCAAATGGTAAAGTCACATTTGATGTCTTTTTGTACTGAATCATCAGTCCTTGGTCTTCGCTCGTTTCGGATCGGCAGCGAAGGCGGAATCGCGCGATCGAAAATTCTTCGGCTAGTGCTCGGCAGAGACGATGACCTCGAGTTGAGAGTATCTGGACGACGTTTTCCTTGGCCCGTTGACCTTGTAATTGCCCTGTAGCGTCTGCTGGTGCGCCACAGTCGAGTCTTTATCGAATCCCCCTTCTGATATATATATATCTCTCTTTCACCCATTCTGCGTCGATTTTTCTTTATCGTCGTTTGCGAGTGACCCGCAACTTTCGGATGCTTTCGGTTAGGTAATTTTCTTCTTCTCATCGTCGCGCGAAAAAGATTCCTTGTCCAGCTTATTTTCGCATCATTACACGCTTATTGTAAAGTCTACACGCAAAATCGATACATTATGTATGGAAGAATATAGAAGGGAGCTTGATTTAATGAGATTACTTTTATTGGCGCAGCGCGTCATTCCCTGTCATGCACTTATCGCGTTTTTTATTAACTTCTTAATAGCCACGATTTGACGTGAGGTCTTTATTAAGACGACAAGGTTGGTCGCGATATGATTTTTATACATCTGCTGCGATTCCATTACGTGCCTATCCTATTTCCGGCAATCACGACGTTTTTCTGTGTTGTTATCAGTTCAAAACATTGTCGTAGAATTACCACATAATGCACGAAAATACGAAATATGTAATTTACTGTGCTGCAGAATATCATTATTTATAACTCCTCGCGTTTTCAGTATTTCGACATAAGTAATGATATATTTATTATCGCGTCTTCGCTATTATTATCCTACATCACAACGAAACATTTAGTGACATAAAAAGTTTTTTTTAATTCTTTATATAGAATCCTAAAGAATATCTATATAAATATTAAATTTACTTTAACCTGTTTCTTTTAATCGTCCCATTTAAGACGGTATCTTTTTAATTTTTCATCTCCATATGAATACTTCATGTGGAGCATTTTTTATACATATGCATGATGTATACATATGGAAAAAAATTCAAAAAATGCTGTTTTATAAATAGGACTTATAAGATGGAGAGAAGAAATAAATTAAACCATAATATATTTGTTATAAACAAATATTGGTTATTAAAAAGTTAAAAAGTATTTTTAACTGTAAAGGATAAGATATGAAACGTACATTTTATGATTGATAACACGCTGAAGAAATATTAGATAAATATTGCATAAAAGCATAGCTTTTAATATCGCCAGAGTGCAACATAAAGAAAAATTTTTTTACGAAATATATCACAAAAACAACTTCATCACATTATAAGATAAACTTTTTAACTTTTTGAACTTCATTATAAGATGAAACTGTTTTTATAATATTTTATATCTGTTGATATAACTTTTTATATCTGCTGATTAAGTTTTCTTTTATCTTGTTTCCTCTTAATTACTGCGTGGCGTATAGTTAAAATGCTAAATAAATGCTGCCACAATTAAAATGCGTAGATATATAGTGGAGATATAAGTATAAACTTTACAATTCGAAACGTTTGCAATTCTATGGAACACAATGCAAAGGCGCTTTTCCCTACGTCTGGTTACAGGACCCCGTCTTTTAATGCTCGGTGATCAGAATAACTTATGTTCATAACGATTCAGTAGAGTAGCTGAGATTATTTACGTTCTTATGCAAGTCTTAGGTATTAATATCATTATACTGTCTTCTTGCATCACTATACTGAGAGAAAAATGTACTAAATTTTAATAAATAATTGTTTTTAATAGTATATTAATATAACATTTATTTATGAAAAATGAATGTTTGCTGAATGAAGAAATATAATAGTTAAATCAAATTAATGGTTCTTGTACCACATAAATGTGTTTAAATTCAGTAAATATTCAACTAGCAGTGTTCAAACAAATATTTATTAAAATTTGGTACATTTTTATTTGAGCGAAAAATACACATTTAGTTAACGTCGAATTTGAGTTCTTTTAAAAAATACTTATGTCGACAAGTATAATGTAAGTGTGTAGGTATATCGATTACATTGATAATATTAAAAAATATTTGTGTTTTTATATACTATTAAGAGCATTAGTATTAAAGCAGAATGAAATCGATCCGTTCGCACGTTGCTTGAAATTCCCCAAAATTTTTGTACTTAAAATAAGATAAATATATATTCGGGCGTTGAAGAAAAAGAAGACGAAAATGCTTAGTGGAAAAAGTGCAAGCAATGCGAATAGACCTAATGTTAACAAATATTTTATTTGATACTAAGTTTTACACACTACTAAGAGTGTTTAGTATAAAAGCAGAATGCTATGTAATAATTTTATTTTTCAATGTATCTTCCGACATTTTTAAGATATATATATATATATATCAGGAAAGAGAAGCACAGATAATAGCGAAACAAACTCCTCTCGTTCTCGTCGCACAGTAGCTATGCCGCTGTAATGATCGCATCGTGCATACGTTTTCCCCGCGCGTTACCACGCGCCGCATTATCATAATTATGTGAGAGACCCGCGCGCGATGTAACGGATCGAGACGGACAATCGAATTACATCGGCCGGCCGTATTGGCCCAAGTTCTCGATGTTCGCCGTGGGAAAACGGGCGTTTCTTCGAACTGTAATTACGCTGGTGTTTTCCACGGTGGCGGCGGCGCAAGGCAAGTAATTGCGCTCGTTCGTTCGCGCGGGCGTATAATAAAAGCGGTTTGAATTGCAAAAATTCACAATGGAATCACGCCTGAAAATCCGAGCGCGGGCTAAGACTATAAAATTAAGGTACGTTAATTAAAGGGACCGAATCGTCTGTCCACTGATTTTGCGGTAACGTTACTAGATTGTTGTGAAATTACATGGAACGGTTTTGCTAAAGTATCTAATTTAGCTTCACTGTTAGATATTGAAGATGCAATGTTAATCTAATTCCTTGAGTTAAATAATTATATTTGGTTATTTTTAACTTTTATGTTTTGTTTGTGTCAAAATTTTAATCAACTCCATTTCTCTGATTAGTTTTAAAATAAACAATACAGTAAATTTGAATTAAATTTAATACGTTTTTTAAATTAAATTAAATTATTTAACTCCATTGTTTTAGTTAAATTAACAATATATTAAGTATTAAGTAAGAGAAGAGATGATCTATACCTATAGAAATGATCTATAGAAATTTATAAAATAAAAAATTCAAATTTGATGTTATGAATTTAACAATGTAGGTACACCCTGGTAGAAATTTCATGCATTTTTTGAGCAGTTACTAAACCGTTATACCAACTTCTGTCTAGTAGCTGAGAAGAAAAACTACTTAGAATCAGGATGTAACGCTTTGTTTGCAGTGTTACTGCATACAAAAGTTGCGTAAAATCTGAATCCATTTACTGAATAGAAACACA